TGTTAGATTGATAGTGAGATCGATTGTGAGATCGATTGTGAGATCGATAGAGAAGTGGGTAATGAGATCGATGGTGAGGCCGATCGATAAGAAGATCGACCAAAAACCAGGGAACCCGTCAACCCCGCCGCCCACCGAAATCGGCCTGGAACCGGGAACCGCGAACCCGGGAACCTGGCCGCCCAACGAAATCGGCCCAGTACCTTCGCCAAATCCTTCAATCTCCGCTAGGACCTCTTCGGTTCGAGCACTGATTGGGGAAAATTGATGTCATAGCTTGTCGCTCCAGGAGGCTCAGAAAAGCTCGGAACGATGACGCTCGGGGACTGGGACGTGATCAGCATGGCGCCGAAGCGTGGTGGACCAGAACGCGAAGTGACACATTAAGCCAAAGTGCCTGACCATACTGTGTTGAAAGAAAACATGTCGTAGGTCGGCGAGTGAAAGAAATGATACGCACTGCCGCGGAAAGTGTTGAAACAGCTGGTGCGTCGTATGACCACGGGCCCGATTCTACCAAGCTGCATGCGACACTGTTCAGAAAGGAGATAGTTCGGAACCTGCAGCAGAAAAGCCAGCCAGGGCGTTTTCAAACGACAACTGACGAAGCTGAGACCGAGGCATCCGACCATGGTACAACACCATGAGGCCAGGCAACACCCGCTGACCCAAGTGTCGGTATCCCCTCACGTAGTAGATGTTCCCGTCGGACTCGATTGAATGGTCTCTCTGACGAACATATCGTAATTCGATGTCATCGCTCACGCGCTCGTTTTTGAAGAGTCAGTCTGACAACAAAGCATGAGGCTCATCTCGCACTTCGCTTCGCGCCCGGAGCATCGATTTGATTCCCAAGCCACGGCGCCCGAAACACGAAATCACCGTCGATGGTGGCCCACGCACGTCGACGTGGAGAACATAGCCGGTGCGATGACTGCTGCCTGAAGCTGATCCTCGCCGCCAGGCAGCCTACCAGCGGCAAGGACAAGGAAGCCCCTGAGAGAAAATCGACGAGGATGAGAGGCGTCATTCGCCAACCTTCCTGGGCACTCTTACACGGTCCTCGTCAGCGCGCGATGGCCACAGAAAGATCGAGAAAATAAGCGCGGGGCGCCACTCTGAGGACGGGACAGCCCCGCCCGACAGGTCCTGACGAGGTGCCCGAGGCGTTGGCTGCTACACTTGCAGGATCCACTGCCAGAGCAACCGACGGAGTGCCTGGAGCTACCCAGGTGACGGGGCGCAGGAGGAGCCGACGCAGCGCCTTGAACGACCAAGAGAATGAGCGCAGGCTTCCAGTCTTCGGCGGCCCTGGCAAAGTGCAAGCGTATTTAGCACTGGGGAGCCAGAATTGACAACGTGCCCTTCTCGCCCCGGGAACCCCTGTTGGCGCTTCAAGACGGTCCGAGGATCCCACTAGGAGGGCTCCCAGATTCCATAGGAAGGCCCAAGAGGGCCAGAAGAGAGAACTTCCAAAAGTGTCCAAGGAACGACCCGATCGGTGTCAGGCTACATGTTGAACAGAAGACTTGGCCGCATGGACCGAAGATGACCCACGACATCCTCAAGGAGGACAGGAGCACCAGAGAAGAGCGAACGATTTGCATGGTTCTAGTTCCCTCGCCCTGGCGGACTGCCCTGGGCTTACGAAACCTCGAAGCGCCCCCGAGAGTGCTCCCCGGAGGGCCTCCGAGAGGGCCCCCCGGAGGGCCGAGCGCCTCCTTGACGAGATCCCCAAGACGGCCCCAACAGGACTCGAGAGCGGCCCCGGTGTGGCTCAGCAGAGCGGGTCTTTCGGCGACAGACCCGCGTGCGGCTCCAAGACAACGCCGAGAGGCCCGCGAACGGCCCAAGGGCAGCCCGCGCTGCTCCGGGAGAGGAGGAGGAGGAGGAGGAGGAGGAGGAGGAGGAGGAGGAGGAGGAGGAGGAGGAGGAGGAGGCAGAGGAGGAGGAGGAGGAGGAGGAGGAGGAGGAGGAGGCAGAGGAGGAAGGCCCGGCACAGCTCCCAGAAGAGCACTCGGCGATGGCGGCGTCGGCGTCGCGCCGCCGGCGGCGGCGTCGCCAGCGCTGCCGACGAGGGCCGCCGAATGCCACCGACGGCCGCCCGTGGCCGCCGAATGAGACAAGCGCGATCCCCCTGCTCCCGAAAAGACTGCTCGCACATGGCCTGGATCCGCCGCGGGGGATCTACAGGTAGGTCGGGCCTGTCCCCCTACTGGGGGATTTTGGACGAAAATTAGAAACACAAAAAAATAACAATGGTCAAAGAATAGTCCCCCGACTATTTGTCTTCCCATTTTTGTATATCCCTCCTGTAGAGGGACGCGCCCGACTTCAATCTCCAGTCCATTACGTGAAGGAAGACACGTTTTCTGCTTTCGGACGCCTGCGAGCAGCGGAGCGCGCTCGGTGACGAATGGCACCAGTGGCCGCCGATGGCCGCAGGTGGCAGCTGGAGGCCGGCAGTGGCCGCCGAGGGGCGCTCCGAAGGGGCGCCGTCCTGGGATCTCCGACATGGCGCCCAGGAAGACGCCGGCCGCTGGGCTCCAGCCGCGGCCCTCCTGGTCGTACTCCTCGGCCCCGGGCTGCATGTCTGCCTCCACGGCGGCCTTCTTGAGGGTGTCCTCCGTCGCTCGGCGCTGGACGCTCCGCCGGAGGCCCTCGGACGGGACGCACAGAGACACACTAGTACTATATGTTCTCCTTGGAGGCGCGCGTCCGGCCCGAACATGTAGTAAACCCATCAAGTAGTATATCCTTTCCCGAGCGGTGTGGCCAGAAAGCGCCCGCCGCGACACATGTGCTATGATATTTCTCGGTGCGCGCGTCGCCCCTGGGGGAGGGGGGGCGACGCACATATAGTATAAGTACGTTGGGGTGACGCCGATCGGAGGCCGTCGGAGGTCGGTGTCCTTCGTCGCTCGTCTTGTCGGATTCCCGGGCAAGCTGCGAAGGTTGTCGGGCATCCCAGGCAGTTGCCACCACCATGCCTGGCCATGGCCATCCTTGGCCCCAGGACGGCGTGCAGATCCTCCTGGCCTGGGCAGGTGCCAGGACCCAGGATGGCCGTCCAACCACGGTGGTGGTGTGTGGGTGCCTTCTGCGGGCCCCTCTGGTCTACACCCGACTCCCCTCCTGGATGCAAAAAAAGACGACGGCCACAATCGGCTCCAAGTCAATGGCAGATTTTCGTTCCAGTATTTGTTTTTGTCGGCCCCAGAGCCCGAAGCGGCCCTGGCGCAGCGTCGGGGAGGGGCAGTGGAGCACCTTCCCGCAGTAGAACATCTGTCTGGACCTCTTGGCCGCAGGGAAGCGCTGTCCTTCCCCCATTTGGAGAAAAACGAAGGTGCCGTCGAAGAACCCCAGGAGGTCGTTAGGGCGCCGATTGGCCCGCCCTCCCCTTCCCACCAAGCGGCCGAGAACGTAAGAGCCCGTGCATTCTGCTCGTGGCTCTCGGAGGAGGAGGAGGAGGAGGAAGAGGAGGAGAAGGAGGAGAAGGAGGAGGAGGAGGTGTCTGCCCGCAGCCTCGCCCCGTCGAGGGCCTCCCCCGGGGGCGTTTGCCTGCTCGGCGGCTCTCCGCGGCGTGTCCTGCGTCGTTCGTCGCCGTCGTCGCCACCGTCGTCGCCGTCGTCGTCGACCTCGGCGCTGGCATCGTCGCCGAGACCAAGGCGGCCGTCTGTATGGGTACCTTTCAGGGTGTCCCTGAAGGTGTCCTGCCCCATGCCCGGAGGTCCGACGCAGCAAAGGAGACAAGAGGAGCGCTTGTTCGGCAGCTTCCGCAGCCGAGCCTGGGCTCCGATCTCGGAACATGTCCCGACGTTTTGAAAGGATAGTAGCAGTTCTCGGGCCCCCGACGAAGCCTCCAGGAGTCTCTGGGTCGTCCGAGGTTCCTGGAGGCCTCCAGCGGACCCTGGAAGCTAGAGGCCTTCAGAAGGGAAGAACCAGAAGGCCGAAAACCGAAGGAGTGACAGCAAACAACATATATATATACACACACATATATATGTATGTATGTATACACAAGCACACCTACCAACATATCGGCTAACGAATCTGAACATAGAAGACAAACAAACATGTACATATATATATATATATACACACACGAACATGAAAATAAACACGCAAACCTACAAACCTAGACACACATCAACAGATACACACCAGGAACGTTGCAGCGCCTCCTCCTCCTCCTCCTCCTCCTCCAGAGGTGGCCTGAATGTTCCAGAACGGCTCTATCTGGCCTGGCTTACGTTCAAGACACCTGGCTCGGTGGCCCACTCGCAATTGTCAAAAATCAGCATCATCATCATCAACGCCATCATGGCTGGCATCATCGGTTCAATGCTGCTGGTGGTGCGGCGACGTCCAAGCCGCGCGTTGTCATTTTCATAACCATCGTCCGCACGTGGTCATGATCTTCATTCTCTCTCCTATCATCCTCCTCACCGCCATCACGGTGGAACATGCTACGCAAACCGTTTACGTCGTCACAGCCGTCGTCGCACTCATCACCACCCTCATCACCACCATGGTCGTCAACTTCAAACTTCGCCAACATCGCCGTCGTCGGCGAGATGCTCCCAGAGAGGCCTCCGTCAACATCTTGCCCTCGTGGAGTCCGCTTGATACTCCCCCGTCTTCCTCGTCTTCATTTGTACTCGGCATCATCCTGATGGTAATACTCATACTCGTCATGGCCATCGAAATTGTCAAACATCCGAATCATCATCATCAAAGCCACCATCATGGCTGGCATCTTCGTTTCACTGCTGTTGGTGATGCGGCGATGTAAAAATCGCGCGTCGTCAAAATCACAATCATTGTCCAGGCTTCAATGGTTATCTCTATTCGTCTTCCCATCATCGTCATCGCCGACATCATCAAACCGTTGCCTCCCCCATCACCACCCTCATCACCACCACGGACATCAACTTCGCGCTCAGCTCTCATCATCGTCGTCGGCGAGATGTTCCCAGAAAGGCCTCCAGGAACACCTT